AGTATACCTAAAACAAAAAACTTATACTACTTAAAGGTGTTTATTGTTAAACCTGCAAAAAAAAGTAACACCTCTAATCAATGACAACAGCTATAATTAATTGATTACATATTTTTTTTCCAGGTATCATCCATGTATTTATTCACTGTATCATCTTTAATCCTACCATTCATCTGGCAAAACAGGTTTTAATATCCCCATTTAACACAAGAAGCAACTGAGGCTCTATGAAGCTAAGTGACTAGTTTGAGGCCACAACCCAACAAGTGGCAGAGCTGGGAGCCCACCCAGAATCTTTGGATCTGAGCTCAGTGCACCAGACAGGGGTTACTTAATGTTGGCTGGCAGGCTGGTGTAGGTCTGCAGCAGATTTTTCACTAATTTATATAAAAATAAGGAAAAATGAGAAGAAAGTAAACTTTTTAATAAAGCTAAATGATTCAATTTAAAGGTCTTTTATTCTGAGATTCTGTTCTTCCAAATTGTTTGAGTTAAAATATCCTTTCTTTAAATGAAATCATAACAACAGGAGATATTGGTGTGGGTTACTGTTGCTGTTTTTATCGGCTATACCTGGCAGAACAAAAAAACTGGCAACTGTTGCAGCCGCCCAATTTGAGGGGAAAGATTTCTTATGAAATCCAAAAGTCTGGGAACTACTCCTTTAGATAACGACGCCTTCCAAAACACAGACACACAACCCCTTGAAGATCCTCTCATTAATCTCCATTCTGTTAGGACCCTTAAGGACTGAGAAATGAGAATACAGTGAATCTCAGGAGTCAGAAGTCATGAGTCAACACTGGGTTCCGGCAGAGGACTTTCCTCAGAATTCTTTTCATTGGTTATCTTTTCTCATCCTTTATCGTCAATTGTACTCACTCAAACCTGGACTCAAACTTTCTTTTCCTAAAATAGTCACATTTTTAAATACTACTACAAATGGCAATCAATACTTATGCCAAATAAAAAGAACTAAAGGTCTCCAAGAATCTGCTTTTATTTAAAGCCTTTTTCACTTTTTCACGACAAAAAACTTTTAATGATGTTTATACTACCTACTTTCAAAAGAAAATTGGTCGATAAATCAGACTCGAGCTACTTTAATTTCCAAATTTCTGTATCTCCATTAAATATATACGTAATACATATACACACACATATATATTACATATACATATAGTTTTGCAAGTAGTTTACAAACAGGCTTATCAAACTGAATAAATTTCTTGAAAGTAATTTTATTGTGTACAAGGCAAATAAGCTATTTACTCCTCTTATTAGCATGTCTTATTTCTTACCTATCCTCCTTTAGTGAGCATCAAATTTAAAATATTTTAAGTACACGGTAACACAATTAAACACTAGTTTCAGTCACAACATATTAAATTCACATTTAAAACTATAAAGAGATCCAGTTATTTTTAGTCTTACACATACTTTTAATATTCTACTTGATGTTACTTGTATTATTTTATGGTGCTTTATTAAAAAGAAAAAAGAGCACAAAACCTGGATCTTGCAGGATACATAACTGAAAATATTTATAGTCTATATTTATCACATGGTTCATAAACAGTCTTTTTTAAAGGAAAGTTAATTTTAAGAACTTAAACATACAGTTTGGATAACATAAAGCACTTTTTCCATGCCCAAATGTTAAAAGGTCCAGGTAAGCTTATTATAGACTACAGTGTTTCTAAAATCAAAAATTGGTAATAGGGGCTGGCCCCGTGGCCGAGTGGTTAAGTTCGCGTGCTCCGCTGCAGGCGGCCCAGTGTTTCGTTGGTTCGAATCCTGGGCACGGACAGGGTACTGCTCATCAAACCACGCTGAGGCAGCGTCCCACATGCCACAATTAGATGGACCCACAACAAAGAATATACAACTATGTACTGGGGGGCTTTGGGGAGAAAAAGGAAAAAAATAAAATCTTTAAAAAAACAAAGATAAACACCATAAACAAGAATAACAAAAATAAAATTATTTAAGAAAAATTGGTAATAATTCTGCCTAAATTCCCTATTAATCTATTACACAAAGTCATTTTTATTTCTTCTTTTTTTAAACACTTGAAATATACTGCTGGACAGTCTTTTCATTATGTATTCACTCAACTAACTTTGGGTACAAGGTACTTTTAAGTATAAAAATCCTGTCCAATGGATAGTGAAAATAACATTAAAATGTTTGCATAAAATACTCAGTGGTTCTCAAAAGGTATCTGAGAGTCTATTAAGTGTATTAACTTGGTTCAAAATACCCAACAACGAATGTGAGCTTTCTGTCACATTGCCATATTTTAACTGTTAACTGATAGCTACATTCTAAACGCATTATATTTAATGTAGCAATAATGATGACTATTTTCCCACTAAAAAGCTACAACATTTTGGTTTAAGGGCAAATGAGTTAGACCACCTGGTCCATGAAAAAGGCTGCCTAAGTGAAAAAGATAGGCAGTCTGAAGTTTGTAAATAGTAACAAGACAAACTCCAGTGCTAGCTTGTTCATGTAATCACCAATATGTAGGTCAAAATAAACTAGTGAGCTATACATTACTGTCTACCTAGCAATTTACAGAGCAACAGAAGAAGAAACTGCTCAAATGTGACTTAAATTCAAAATATTAGGCAAAGTATGTCTCTATGAAAACTGTAACCTATCAATTTTGAGATAATTTCTTTCACTTTTGCTACTTTTTTTAATGAACCCTCCTCAAAAAAAAGCAGCCACTTTTTAAGATGTAAATTCCTCTTTTTTTCAAAGTAACTTGCCTAGAAAAACCTAATGCAGAAAATAAAATGTAACAGATAAACCAACTACATTTTAAAAAACCTAAAATTATCAGTAAAACAAACCAATTAGCCCAGATTAGCAATGCGTGTTTTTAATCTTCTGTGGGTATCCTATTATACCCCTTATCCCATTATACAACGTTTAAAAGTCATCTAATGCCCAAAATGTCATCACTATACATGACATACCCATATTTTACTCAAATTAAGCTTAAATTAGACCCAAGCTCAGGCCATTTCCCCTTCCTAGGCACACTGAAATATACAAGGTGGAGTCCAAGAAATCAGATATGTTAAGTGTTGGTATCTTCTTCCAGAGTAGGGTCAAATTCGTGTTTGCCCGCAAATGTCACCGTTTCAAGAAGTCTGCAAATTCTCATTAGCGCTACAGAGTACAAAGAGGCCTGACCACGGAAACACCTGTCCTAGCACCGGGAAGACAGTGGGAAATGCAAGCCCGCAGCCCACGCCGGCCGCACAGCCTCGGGCTGCAACGATCCGGGACAAGGGGTGGACACTGACCTCACTGCTCCCTCCAGCAGGGTCCCACAACCCCGACCCGCCTCCACAAGCGAAAACTAGGAAATCCGTCAAGCTGGCCGGGACCCACCCTTCGCGAACCCCTCTCGCTCCTTCCCAGCCCGGCCCCAGCCTGCTCAACTGCTCCCGGTCCGCTCCGGCCTCCGGGCTGCACTCTGCCACCTCATCCCTCCTCGCCGGTCTCGCGGCCCCGCCACCTCCCCCCCAGCGGCCTGAACTCGGGCCGTCCCCCAGGCCAGAGCCCCCGGCAGCCTCCCCCTGGCCCCTCGACAGGCTCGCGGCGCGGTCGGTCCCTCCGCGGCCCGGTCCCCGCCGCCCCCCAGGCCCGAGCTCCCGCCGCGCGCTCCCCACCCCCAGCCTCTGCCCTCGCCCGAGCCGCTCGGCCGCTCCCCGCCCGCTCCCCCTAGCCGGGCTACCTGGATGCAAGGGCGGCTGAGCACTTCACCCAGGGCCCCAGGTCGCAGAGGGCCCGGTGCTCGGGGTCCCGCTCCTTCTCCCGCTCCACGTGGTAGGCGTAGATGGAGAGCAGGATCCCGGCGGCGCACACGGCATACCGGGCCACCCGTTCCCACCGCGGCACCGACACTCTCAGCAGGACGGGCGCCGCCATCTTCCCGCCGCCACCGCCTCCTTCGCCGCCGCCGCCGCCGCCTCCCTCCGCCTCCACCTCAGCCGCCGCCGCCCGCCGGGGCCCGACCCAGCCACCGCCGCTACCGCCGCCGCCACCTCCACCGCCACCGCCACCGCCGCCGCGCCCCATTGGCTCGACTGCCTCCTCCGGGCCCCGCCCCAACAGGCGCGCGGCCCAACCGCCCCGAAAGGAGAGAGCCGGGCGGGGCGGGGAAGGCGCAACGCGGGCGCGGAGGGAGAGGGTGGGGCGCGCAACCGCCGCGGAGGCCCGGCCCCCAGGCGGAGACGGAGGCGGTGCGGCGCGCGGCGGGCGGGGCCGCGGGGAGGGGAGTGGAGGGGAGGGGCCCGGAGGAGGGAGGGGCGGAGCTCCAGGGGAGGAGGGGCGGGCCGGGGCGGGAGGGCCTTAGGGGAACCCGGTGCAATGAATAAATTTCAAAGATATGACAGTGTGTGGCTGGGTAAGTCCTCGCCCCACCCCCCCCCGCCCCGGGGGTGGTGATCAATTGCCATCCTTTTGTCCTTTTTTGTCATTATCACTTGATATTTTCCGACCCAGTCCAAATTAACCCTGGCCAATGCCCAGACCTCCAGAGCCGCGCTTCCATGACCTGATCTTCCTCACCACCACCTCCAGGCACCTCGTGTTCAACAGGTGCAAACTTAACTATTTTTGAAAAATTACTTGTGAATGCCTTGCTTCTTTGTAAGCTGAATTTGAGATGGCTTAAAATAATTCATGTAATATAGAAAAATACAAAAATGAACTAAAAACTCAGGTCAAAGAAAAAGACAAATCAGAATAAAGGAAAAGACCAGGTGTAAGAATACAGATAAGCATGCCATAGGGTCTTGCATAATTATTAAAACTGAGCCATAAATTTGGCTCTGAGCTTCCTGGTGGCCAAAACTAAAAGGAAAACACCTGTGTGTTATTCTCACTGTCCCTAGGAAGAAAGAAACACACCATTCTTGGAGAATGCTAGCTTTTTCCTGGTTGCAGCTCCCAAAGAGATTTCAGAAGCTTTAAAATAGTGATTTTGAGGAATCAATGTCCTTGTATTAATCTATTGTTGGGTAACAAATTACCCCAAACTAAGCAGCTTACAACAAAAAAAAAACCCCTTATTTTCTCAGTTTCTGTGGATTAGGAATCTGGGTGCCGTTTAGCTGAGTCCTCTGGCTCAGGGTCTCTCACAAGGCTGCAGCCAAGGTGTTGGCAGGACTGCAGGCATCTCAAGGCTGGAAAATTCTCCTTCAAGCTCAATCACTCGGGTTGGCAGGCAGGCCTACGGTCCTCTCTGGCTGTTGGCTGGATCCATCAGTTCCTGACCACTTGCGCCTCTCCATAAGATGGCACTATCTTCCCCTAGAGCAAGGGATAAGAGAGAGGGAGATGAAACTCACAGTCTTTTTTGTAACCTAATCTTGGAAGAGACAGCCCATCACTTTTACATATTCTACTACTTAGAAGCTAGTCCACAACCTAAGTGTCCATTAAAGGATGAATGGATAAAGAAAATGTGGTATGTACATAAAATGGAATATTATTCACCCATGAAACAGAAGGAAATCCTACCTTTTGAAACAAAACGGATGAGCCTTGAGGGCATTATGCTAAATGAAATAAGTCAGATGGAGAAAGACAAACACTGTATGATCTCACTTGTGTGTGGAATCTGAAAAAGCTGAATTCATAGAAACAGAGAGTAGATTGGTGGTTGGTGGGGGTGAGGGAGGTGGGGGTGGGAATGGGAAGATGTTGGTCAAAGGGTACAAACTTCCAATTATGATGAGATGAGTAAGTTCTGAGGATCTAATGTACAGCATGGTGACTACAGTTAATAATACTGTATTGTATACTTGAAAGTTGCTAAGAGAGTAAATCTTAATGTTCTCTCTCACACACACGCAAAAGGTCATTTTGTGAGGTGATGGATATGTTAACCTTATTGTGGTAATCATTTCACAATATATATGTATGGCACATCTTGTACATCTTAAACTTATACAATGTTATGTGTCAATTATATCTCAATAAAGCTGGAAAAAAAAAAAAAGAAGCAGCAGCTAGTCCCCTAGATTCAGTCCATGCTGAAAGGGAGGCAATTACACAAAGACATGAATACCAGGAGAGAGGATCACTGGGAGCCATCCTAAAGGCTGCCTACCACAACCCTCAGAAAGATCACCGCTTGAACTCTCTACTGGTTTTCATAAATCTAAGTGGACTCATTCTCCTATGACTCCCCCCTTCTGGAATCCTTTACTCTCTTAATGAGATCTATTGATCATCTGGCTGAACAGTAGAAGAAATTTCTTAGAATTCCTCATACACATTCCACTGCCTCTCACCCTGGAGCTTTCCAACTCCTACTTATCCACAGCTTAGATATCTCTTTCTCCTGGAAGGCTTTCTCACCTCTGTTGTAATAGTCAGGACTCCGGTGACACAAACCCTGCTCACCAGGCCAGGGACTCAAACCCTGTCAGTACTCTCTCTCCCACTTGTATGTGTGGATTTTGTTCTCTCAAGTCTGATTTTTGCATACAGAAGGAAAAGTGGCCCCCATAGTTCCTATGTCTTGCATTTTTGTTTTCTCCTGCCAGAAAGAGACTGCTTCTCATACCTTAAATCCAAATTTAAAAATCCTGTGGAGAATTCCAACAGACTGACCAGACTTAGGTCACTCATGGGCCCAGTAGCTAGAAAGAAAGAGTGCTGGGGATGGCAGAACCCCCAGACCCACCAGAGATTCTACGAAAGAACAGTCTTCCCGAAGAACAAGAAAGTGCTGTTCCCAGAAGCAGGCAGGGGTAACTGGGCAAATAAAGCAGGAAGCTAATCCATTCATTTGTTCCACAGATGTTTATTGAGCACCCACTATGTGCCAGGCATAGTTGCAGGGGTTGGGGCCATAGCAGAGAAGATGATCAACAGCACTTGCCTCACAGAGCTCACATTGTGGGGGGAAGCTGGGTGAGGCTGTCCCTGTTAGGGGCTCACAGAGAAGAGCCCTTGTTGCTGTACAGGAGAAGCTTCTCGGCTCCCAGGTAGGCAAAGCTGTTCACCAGCTTTTCTGTAGTGCCAAGGGGCAGCTAAGGCCTTTTTTGGCTGGGGGGCACAGTTCTTGGTGGTCACTTTGTGCCAAGCCAAGAATGTAAACTTCAAAATTTGTACATAGATTGAAACTTCATACATTGCTGGTGGGAATGTAAAATGGTGCAGCCCCTCAGAAAACCATTTGGCAATTCCTCAAAATGTTAAACATAGACTTAGCACGTGATCCAGCAATTCTACTCATAGGGTATACCTAAGAGAATTGAAAACATGTGTCCACACAAAAACATGTACGTGAGCGTTCACAGCAGCATTATTCCTAATAGCGAAAAATGTCCATCAACTGACAAATGGATAAACAAAATATGGTATATGCATACGATGGAATATTATCCCACAAAAAGGGATGAAATACTGATACACGCCACAACATGGATGAACCTTAAAAACGTTATGCTAAGTGAAATAAGATAGACACAGACACAAAAGGCTACATATTGTATGATTCCTTTTAAATGAAATGTCCAGAATAGGCAAATACCTAGAGAGAGATCTGAGTAGAGTAATGGTAACCAGAGGCTGGGGTGACAGAAAATGTTGGAGTGACTGCTAATGAGTATGGGGTCTCTTTTTGGGGTAATGTTCTGAAATTAGATAGTAGTGGTGGAAGCACAACTCCATGAATATACTAAAACAACTTTAAAAGGTTGAATTTTTTGGTATGTGAATTATATCTCAATAAAGCTGTTATTTTAAAAATATGTACACAGAGGAGCCTTCACATTGTAATTGCTCCATCAGCTGCAAATTCCATGAGGACAGTGAGTGGGTCTTTCGTATTCCCAGCAGTTGGTTGCAATGCCTGGCACAATGGCAGGTGCTCAAGAATTACATGGAGAACGGGTAAATGAAAGAGACCAGCTTAAATGCTGCTTCATTCAGGAAACCTCCCCCTCTGTGCTCCTAAAGACCCTCTTCCCCATTTCGCTTTCATGGAGGACCAGACTCAGGCTGGCAGGGATCTCCGCTCCAGCTCATCACCCCAATTTCTGGGGCCAGTATCCATAGCCACATCCCATCCCCCTGGGCCTCTGCAGCTTCAGCACTCCATTTCCTATGGCAGTTTTAAGGTCTCTTTTTCATTGACACCTTTCTTCCTGCCAAGCTCAACTATGTGTTTAAACAATTTTTCTTAGAACATTTTACCCAGTACGCTAACACTTTCTGTGTTGGCTTAAACCACCATGTCAGAACTAGAAATCCAAAAATGTTTCTGTGAATTTGTTCATGACCCCAAATTTGCTTTGCTGAGTTACAAAGCTGTACTCTACATTTTCTGCCAAAGTTTTGGGAAAGGTCACAGCAAGGATACAGCAGGACCCTCAAAGCATGGCAGTAACTGGCCAGAAATCTTTCTATAGCAGAGTCTGTGACAGCCCAGGCTTCCCAGGGCCCTTCAGGAAAACACCACTCAGAGTGAATGTCCTGTTGATGGATGTGTCATTTTCACATTCAAGGGATAATGGATGCTGATATCATTTCATTATTGTCAGTACTGTCAGTATTGTCAGTATTATCAGGAAATGCTCATTTTTAAATACTGGATGAGGAGTGGACCAGTAAACATCCTATGTACACAGATGACCTGCTGACCCACCAGGTAAAGAGGCTGTCCACTGAGCACATATCTACATGCTAGGCAATGTGTCAACACAAGGCTTTTTCAATATGTTATATTTAAACTTCATAAGCTCTGCACAAGGTAGGTATCATGATCTCCACTTTTCATGAGAGAAAAGTACATCTCAGAGTGGTAAGTAACTAAGCCAATTACTGTAAGAGGCAGAGCTTGAGTCAGCACCCAGACCTGTTTGATTCTCATGCACTCCCTCTTTCCACCAGCCTGTGTGGCTTCCTTCTGAGAAACCACCACTCAATTTTATATGGATGCTCTGTTTCTTACCAGAATGTAATGAATACATTATTCACCAACCCTCCCCTTCCATTCCACTCTATTAGTGTAACCAAGTTTCAAGGTCTTTCCTCGTTCCTGCCTCAAGGTGAAAACAGATATTTCCCTGTGGCTTCAGTAGGCGGGACCCAGGGTTAAATCCTGAAGTCTGCTGAGATTCCATCTGCATGCTGCCATCCCAGACACTACCTCAGGGCAGCCTGAGGCCCCCATGATATGTCTCCACTGGAGTCCTTTCCTCCCAAGATCCATGAACCCCAGCACAGGTGCCCTGACCACCAGCCTAAGCTTGATCCCAGAGCTCCAGTAGGAACCCCAAAGCCCATGACTTCTTTCTTTTTCTAAGATTTTATTTTTTCCTTTTTCTCCCCAAATTCCCCCGGTACATAGTTGTATATTCTTAGTTGTGGGTCCTTCTAGTTGTGGCATGTGGGACGCCGCCTCAGCATGGCTTGAAGAGCAGTACCATGTCCGTGCCCAGGATTCGAACTGACGAAACACTGGGCTGCCTGCAGCAGAGTGCGCGAACTTAACCACTCGGCCACGGGGCTGGCCCCAGCCCATGACTTCTGCCACCAGGCCCCACATCCCTGTCATCCTGCTGTAAGTTCTTTACCTGTATTAACTCATTTAATCCTGACAACAACTTTTGATGTAGGAATCATTATTTTTTACATTTTACAGATAAGGAAATTAAGGCTCAGAGAGGCTAAGTAACCTTCTAAAAATCACATAGCTAGTAAGTTGCAGAACTGGGATTTAAGCCCCAGAATTCTGGCTCCCAGATCCACGCTCTTAACTCCTGTGCTGTGAGCTAATATGCACAGAGAATTTGGATTTCTTTTTCCTTAGCATTTACCACCATATAACATAATATGTATTAGACTTTTAAAAAAAATCTCTGTCTGTCTCTCCTGTTAGAACGTAAATTCCTCAAGGGCAGAGATCTTTGTCTGCATTGTTAAGTACTGTATCAGCACCTAGAACAGGACCTGACCACAGAGTAGTAAGTACATTTTGAATGAATGAATGAATGAGCACTGAAAAAATGTTAGCTACTAGTATCTTTGCAAAAACAATAGGCCCACAGCAATTATCTTTTCCCAAGTAAAATAGAAGTCCTCCTGGGCTGGCCCCATGGCCGAGTGGTTAAGTTTGCGCGCTCTGCTGCAGGCGGCCCAGTGTTTCGTTGGTTCGAATCCTGGGCGCGGACATGGCACTGCTCGTCAGACCACGCTGAGGCAGCGTCCCACATACCACAACTAGAAGGACCCACAACGAAGAATACACAACTATGTACCGGGGGGCTTTGGGGAGAAAAAGGAAAAAATAAAAA